CACAAGAACCAGAACATAGAAGTAATCCAGTATCTATTGATAAGGGAATGAATAAGCAAAATCTGGTAGATACATATAAAAATACCATCCAGCCTCAAAAATGAAGGAAATTCTGACATGTACAACATGGATGAATCTTGAGGAAATTATGCTAAGTGAAATTAATAAGCCAGTCACAAAATGACAAACACAGTATGATTCCATTTATAGAAGGTACTAGAATAGTCAAAATTATAAAAACAGAAAGTAGAATGATGGTTTTCAGAAGCCAGAGGGGAGGGGGAAATAGGGAGTTATTGTTTAATGGGTACAGAGTTTCAGTTTTACAAGATAAAAAAGAATTATGGAGATTTATGGTGGTGCTTGTTATACAACAATGTGAATACATTTAATACCATCGGTAAGATGGTAAATTTTATGTTAAATGTATTTTATGACAACAAAAAAATAGATAAGCATAGAGTTACCACATGATCTAACTCCTAGGCATGTACTTAGGAGAACTGAAAACACATTCATACAAAAACGGATACTTAAATGTTCATAGCACCATTATTTGTAATAGTCAAAAAATGGAAACTCAAGGGTCCATCAACTAATGAATGAATAAACAAAGAGCAATGCATCCATACAATGGAATATTAGGCAGCCACAAAAAAACAAATGAAATACTAATACAGGGTACAGCATGGATGAACTTGAAAACATTGACGCTTGGTGAAAGAAGGCATTCACGAAAGGCCACTTATTACACGATCCAGTTTATATGAAATACTGAGAAGAGGCAAATCCATAGAGACAGAAAGTAAATCAGTGGTTGCCATGGCAAGTAGGAAACAACCGCTAATGGGTACAGAGTTTCTTTCTAGGGTAATGAAACTGTTCTAAAATTGACCATGAATTTGTGGAACAGACTTTGTGTAGGTCACCATACTAAAACCCCCCAAGCTGTGTACTTTTAAAAGATGAATTTTATGTTATGTGAAATATATCTCAACAAAGCTGCTGTAAAAAAATTCTTTTCACAAAGACAATTCAGCTGCAAGATGAGTTGTTCTGTCCCCCACACAACAGGCTGCCATTCATGTAGATTAGCAGGTAACGGTGTTCCCCTGGCAGGGGGGCGATGGGGTGGCCCTGTGGGACAATCATGCAGGTACATTCTACCACCCACTCAGGAACATATTCTAATATTATACAGTTTTCCATAGAATAAATAGGCAAAGCTCTCCAACTCATTGTGGCTGGCAAAATCCTAATCCAAATCCAGGCAAGGGCAGTATCCAAAGGAAACATTACACATCAACTCATTAGGTTTAAGGCTCTTTGGGGTGCCTGGGTGGTTCAGCAGTTTAAAGCCTCTGTCTTCGGCTCAGGTTATGATCCCAGAGTCCTGGGATCGAGCCCTGCATTGGGCTCTCTGCTCAATAGGGAGCCTGCTTCCCTTCCTCTCTCTCTGCCTGCCTCTCTGCCTAATTGTGATCTCTGTCTGTCAAATAAATAAATAAAATCTTAAAAAAAAAAAAAAAAAAGATTTAAGATTCCTTAACAGGAGCACCTGGGTGGCTTAGTCAGTTAAGCATTTGACTTTATCTCAGGTCATGATCTCCGGGTCCTGGGATCCAGCCCCAAGTCAAGCTCCCTGCTCAGTGGGGAGCCTGCTTCTCCCTCTCCTTCTACCCCTCCCCCTGCTTTGTGTGCATGCTCTCTCTCTCTCTCTAGTTAAAAATAGAAAAAAAAAATCTTAAGGTTTCTAAACAGGTGATGCCTGGGTGGCTCAGTCGGTTAAGCATCTGCCTTCAGCTCAGGTCATGATTCCAGGGTCCTCGGATCGAGCCCCGCATCAGGCTCCTTGCTTAGCACGGAGCCTGCTTCTCCCTCTGCCTCACACTCCACTTACACTCTCTCTCTGTCCTTCTCTGTCTCTCTGACAAGTAAATAAAATCTTTTAAAAAAAAAGTGTTCCTAAACAACTGATTCCAGCAATAGATTAAAAAGATATTACACCATGACCAAGTTTTACTTAAATGCAACGTTGACTTAACATTAGTAAATCAGTTGGTGTAATTCACCACACTAATATCTTAAATAAATCATATACGACCATCTCAAAAGATGGACTGATGGGGGAAAAAAAAGATTCTGTAAAATTCGTTCTTAAAGGGAAAAAGTACTAGAAAACAAGGAGTGGAAAGGAATATCCTTAAATTGATAAAGGTTATTTACATACGTACATACACAGAAGCTACATTATTTTAAACGATGAAATGCTCAAAGCATTCCTTTTTATTAAAATCAAGAACAATACAAAAATACCTGCAATCATACTTCATCACTTTTTTTTTAAAGATCTTATTTATTGGAGAGAGAAGATGTGAGCAAGAGTATGAGCTGGGGGTTAGGGCAATGCGAAAGGGACAGACAACTCCCTGCTTAGCAGAGAGCCCGACATGGGGCTCCATCCCAGGACCCCAAGATCATGACCTGAGCCAAAGGCACATGTTTAACTGACTGAGCCACCCAAGGGACTCATTCTTACTGTATTTTAATAAGCTCCCAATGATTCTGATGGTGATGATCCAAGTACCCCCTTTGAGAAACCTCGGGCTGGAGAAACCATTTGCCTGTTGAGTTGGTTCCTGGTTCCCCAGTGCCCAAACCCACCTACCCAACAACACACCATCTGGCTATGCTTCCTTTCTTTCATAATAGTCCCGCTGTTCTATTTCATTTTTCTTGGATCTTCACAACAGCCCTGTGAGACTAAATTAACAGATATTATCTCCATTTCACAGATCAGGAAACTGAGGCTCAGAGAGGGTGGGGAAGTGGCCCAGTCCACACAGCTCATTAACATACCAACGAGAGGCTACTCAGGGCCTCTGTATGAAGACTTGATGATGGTAATGCAGCCAGCATTACTGACTGGTCCCCAGGTGCCGGGCACTTCACATGGGCCATCTCATTACCATAACTCCAGGAAGCAGATAGTCCCATCACCCCATTTTACAGGTGCAGAAACTGAGGTCAGAAGATAAAGTATCTTGCCCAATGTCACTCCACAGACTGGGTATCAGAACCCAAAGGCCCACCAAAAGTAAGCTTAGCATTTGTAGGAGGTCTATTCTAAATATTCATGAAAATTATGTATGCATTTTTCTCCTCAATATACTTGGCACCTGTTTTAGCAACAAACATTTCTGTCCCCCTCCCCCAGCAAATCCTCAAGTAAAAGTACCCCCCAGGGAGACAGAGCCCCTGTTTGCTCCATGAACCTTGAGCATGGGGCCCCGAAGCCCAGGAATGGATGTAAGTACCCAAGGAAGGTTTCAAAGCAAATAGTGGATGTGAGGTTCGATGTTGGTTCTCTGCCTCTGACTAGCACCATTTTACGGAAAAGGATACTGTCACCTCCACTGTCTATGGAAAACTGGACAGAAGAGACATGTTCTTTAACACTCTGGGGTTTTCTGGTCCTCGTCTTCAGGATCTCCATGCTTCAGAAGCCCACAAAGTACCCACTGAGACCTTCACTTCCCCTTCACCTCTTTCCTGGGCACCTGCTCTGAATGTGACCTTGCCCAAAACACCCAGAGAGACATCTCAGCAGCACCCAAAACCCTGCCCCCAAAAGGCCCCACACCTGCCCGGTGCTTCCCGGTCTCCAGGCCTTTGCCCACACCAGTCCTTCCACCTACTTGCCTTGGCCCACATCCCACAAGCTACCCATCCTCAACCCATCTTCAAGATCTCTCCTGTCACGGGGCCATCCCTGGGCCCTTCCTCCCCCATGACGGAAGTGGCCTATCCCTCCTCTGGGTCTTTGAGGACACACCCTAACCCACTTTGCAACAGAAGCACACATCCACATTTTAAAACTGCTTAGGGACAGTATTTGTATGGATTATTCTGAGTCTGGCATGGAATGACACCTTGCACACAGCAGGCTGTCAAGAAAACTTTCATGAGTGGATGAATCCAAGAATTCACCCCGTGCTCCCACTAATCGCAGCCATTCGTGGTCTGTGGGTAGAACCCAGCAGAGAATCCCATTAGGAGGAGACACGGCCCTGGGAGCCCGCGGGAGGTGTCCTGCAAGGCCAGCTTCATTTTTAATTTGTCTGTCCCCTGCCATGTCCCTCGTCTCTTCCCACCAGACAGCTCTGCCTCACGTTCTGTCACTCCCCAGTGCCACCCAGCTGCAGCCACCCAGCCTCACAGGCAGTCTGCCCACGCCTCGTCTCCATCACGGGGGCTGAGGGTGCCCGGGTCTTAGGCCTCTGAGGAAAGTTGGAAGTACTTGGCAGTCTGCAGCGTGAAAGGTCTCCCTTCAGTCTGGGACATCCTCCAGCTGAAACTTCCCACCCTGACATTAACACTGGTTCATCTTCAGTCCAAAAGGAAGGGAATGTGAACCGGCACCGAGGGTGTATATGAAATGTCTTCTCCGCCAGGGAAGGGGGGTGGGCCCACGAGCCTTGGCTCCCCTGCCGTGTGGCCCCACCTCAGGCCGATTACAAATGCAGATTGTCAAGGCATCCCAGGAGCCTCAGGGAGGCCGCATGTGAGCTCCCAGGCCCAGGAGTCCATGAGAGGGCCAGGGCTGAGGCCCACGGGACCACCCTCCCGTTCGCCCCAAGCCACACTGGGCCCGAGCCTCCTGCAAGTGGTAAGGACAAGGGCAAAACCACACACCCGAGGCGACTTGGCCCCTGCCTGCTTTCAGGAACCCAAGGGAGGGCCCCAAAGGAAACTTCTACCCAGCCGGATGCCCCTGGCTACTTGTCTTCAGCTTGAATGTGGAATCTCCATAAAGGCTTTGTTTGGGATAAAAGAGAGAAGTCACGGGGAAGGGGTGTCTTGGGATCCCTCCCATTTCCAGCTTCAGTGTAGGTGGGGGAAACGGGAGGCCCGCTGGCCGCAGACAAAGCCAGCACACGCCCCCAACCCCAGGAGGCAAAGACCATGCCCTCACCACCCCCCAGGAACTCGGCACATACCTGGGGCACCTGGTCAATGCTAAACAGCTGGGGCAGCTTCAGGCTAAGCATCTCGAAGCTGGGTTGGGATGGCCGGTGGTGGACAGCTGCTCCCTGTCGCCGGCTCAGAGTTCTGACATGGCCCGGGGTGCGTGTGGCCAGCCGGTGCCAGGGCTGCTTCCCTGCAAGAGGACGGCGTGAAGAAATCCAGTCAGCCCCAGCCCAGCTCCAGCTGGATCAAGACCATCAGATTGTTTAACCACGGAACAAACACTTGCTTGTGACGGCAAAATAATCAGGCTTCCTTAAAAACAGCAGTAGGTCTATCAGACCGCTGAGTCATTTATTCCGAGAGGGCTGGAGGGAGGTCATTCATGCCTGGTAGGGACGATCATGAAACTGCAGAGCTGGAAGAGCCATGGAGGCCACCAGGTCCCCTCATGTCGGACATCAGGGCCCGAGGGGGGGCAGTGACTTCTCTTAGGCTAGGGGACAGCTGAAGCTGCTGGCTTACGGCAGCATCGTGGGCTGCCCCTGGGCCGGCCGCGCGATCCCGAGTCTGTGTCCATTCAGCGGGCAGAGGAGGACAGGGGCCTTGCCCCAGATCACCCAAAGAAAAGCAGCTCTTCCAGAAGGCCAACGGGAGCTTTGTTGCCCTGAGACACACACAAGCAGACAAGCAAATCCGAGGCACTTGTAGGGGACACTGCAACTCCAAGTAACGAGGCTGTTTAAATGCAAGATTAAGACTGCTTAACAGGGGCGCCTGGGTGGCTCAGTGGGTTAGGCCTCTGCCTTCAGCTCGGGTCATGATCCCAGGGTCCTAGGATCGAGCCCTGCATCGGCCTCTCTGCTCAGCGGGGAGCCTGCTTCCTCCTCTCTCTCTCTGCCTACTTGTGGTCTCTATCTGTTAAATAAATAAAATCTTTAAAAAAAAAAAAAAAAAAAGACTGCTTAACAGCTGTGAGTAATGTGAGCTAGAGGGGCCTGAAGCCCTCAGGACGGCCTGAGAAATAGAAACATGCAAGCTGGGTTTAGCAAAGAAAGAGCAGTGCTAGGAATTTACCCTGGTTAACGCCTCCCCCTGCCCCCCACAGCTCCCATCATTGCTAAGCCAAGATCTGCCCCATCCTTAGAGCTCCCCCAGAGGAATTCTGTCCCTGCCTCAGAAGGTCCAGAAACCCTGCCTGTGCCTCTCATGTGACACCAACCTCCTCCGCCTATGAGCAAAGCTACCTGCCCAAGTGCTTGGAGAGGACACTCCTGGGATGGCTGGAAACTCGGGGTGTCTGCCTGGCTCACGCTGGGCCTTCAGTGAAATGCTTAACACCATTCATTAAAGCAACGGCGCTCGTCCTCTGAACTTAAAGTGTGGTTTTCGTTTTGTGGTTTGTTTACACTTTTGCTGCTTATTATAGTCTTTATGTTCTATGTGTTATTATCTAGAACTCTGGGGCACCTGGGTGGCTCAGTCAGTTAAGCGTCTGCCTTCGGCTCAGGTCATGATCCCAGGGTCCAGAAATCGAGACCAGCATTGGGCTCCCAGCTCAGCAGGGAGTCTGCTTTTCCCTCTGTCTTCTCCCCTCTGCTCATGCTCTTTCTCGCTCTCTCTCTCTCTCAAATAAATAAAATCTTAAAAAAAAAATAGAACTCTGTAACAAAATGCAATATATTTATGTTTCATTGCCATAAATTTGCTTCTTTCTTAAAAACGCTGATGTATTATTCACAAGTCCAAAGGGGGAAACGATCCAAGTGTCCACCAGCAGATGAATGGGTAGACAAAATAACAAAATACAGTCTAGGCACATAATGGAATATTATTCGGTCTTAAAAAGGAATGATGCTGTGATCGGCGCTTCAACATCAATGAAACTTGAAAACGTTATGCTGAGGGAAATAAGCCAGTCACAAAAGAACAAATGGTATAGGATTCCACTTACCCAAGGTACCTAGAGTAGGCAAATTCACACAGACAAAAAGTAGATTAGAGGCTGGATTGGTGGAGGAACGGGGCATTGTTGTTTCATGGGTACTGAATTTCTGTCTGGGATGACAGAAAGTTCTGGAAACGGGTGGTGGTGATGGTTGCACAGCGTTCTGACTGTGATGTCCCTGAATTAGACACTTAAAAATCGTTACACAATTTCACATTGTGCATATTTTACCACTATAAAAAGTGTGTAATATTTCCAAGCTACAGAATAATGAAGAAAATAATTTTTTTTTAAGATTTTTATTTATTTATTTGTCAGAGAGATAGAGCAGAGGCAGGCAGAGTGGCAGGCAGAGGCAGAGGGAGAAGTAGCTCCCTGCGGAGCAAGGAGCCCAATGTGGGACTCGATCCCAGGATCATGACCTGAGCCGAAGGCAGCCGCTTAACTGACTGAACCACCCAGGCATCCCGAAAATAAATAATTTTTTAAGAAAATAATTTTTTTAAAAGATTTTATTTATTTACTTGACAAAGATCACAGGTAGGCAGAGAGGCAGAGAGAGAGAGAGAGGGAAGCTGACTGGCCGCTGTGCAGAAAGCCCGATGCGGGGCTTGATTTCAGGACCCTGAGATCATGAGCTGAGCCCAAGGCAGAGGCTTAACCCACTGAGCCACCCAGGCGCCCAAGAAAATAATTTTTTTAAAGCGCACTTTACCTAAGTTAAAGAAAATAAAAGTTAATACTTTGCAAACAACATCGATGTGAGTGGGCCATAGTCCACCTTCGTTCTCTCAGTTTTGCAGGCCTAATTACCAAGACTCCCAAACTCTCTGAAGCACCATGATCTCACCCAGTGGCAGGACACAAGGTGGAGGTCTGGTACTGGGGGGGACCTCAGGCACACCAGGAAATCCTCCGGTAATGGGACCAAGGCTGGTCTCCACACACCTTGCCCACCTCGAGTAGCCTCAATGTCATGGGAAAGACAAAGAAAAGGAACGGTCCCCTTCTCTCCCAGCACATACCATCCCAATACAATGACCAGCCTAAACTGCAAACATAAGGGGTAATGACAATAGCAGAGGAGTCCCCAACTTCTTCATTCAGCCACTGTTTACCACGTTTATCACGTGACAGGTATGGGTAAGTCTAAGTGTGTAATTGAGGATTCTCCATGGGCTGCTGTGGCTTGAAGGACACGGTGAGAATTAAACAGATACAAAAATTGTATGGGTTTGGTGCACCTGGGTGGTACCATTGGTTAAGTGGCCGGCTCTTGGTTTTGGCTCAGGTCATGATCTCCGGGTCCTAGGATCAAGCTTCATGTCAGTCTCCACGTTCAGCAGGGAGTCTGCTCAAGGAATCTCTCTCTCCCTCTGCTCCTCCCCCTGCTCATACTCTCTCTCTCTCTCTCTCTCTCTCAAATAAACAAATAAAGCTTTAAAAAAATTGTATCGCTTTGTGACACATAGAATGGACGGAAGTAGGCAGCCTCCATACCATTCTCTTCTTTCACTGCACAGGAAAAAAAAGAGGAATAAGACAGTCACTGTCCCCAACAAATGTATAAAGAGATGAGACACCCAACTAGCTAGCACAAGTCACCCTGAGAAGGAGGGAAACTTTCATCTACCACACCAACCCCATCCTTCTCACCTTGCTTCCTGGCCCATCTCATTCACCCCCACTGTGGCCATCTCAGGAGGCAAGGCAGGGCAGGGCAGGGCCTGGGTGCTGGATTCAAGCCACTTGCATTCAAAGACCAGTGCAACCCGTGCAACCCTGGGCAAGGAACGTTAACGCCTGTGCCTCGGTTACCCTAAGGGTAAAATGGAAACAACGGTAGTACTTTTTTCATGGGGGTGTCATGATGATGAAACGCCAGAACCCATTTAAAGGGCCTGGCGTAAAGTAAGGGTCCAACAAACACTTGCTATTAGTACTAATTTTCAGAGAGGAAGATTCAATTTCTATTCTACAGGCAAGAAAATGGAAGCGTGGAAAAGCTATGGGGTTTGCCCAAGATCACACAGTGAATGGCTGCTAGAAAACTAGGATTTGATTTCTGGTTTCGTAAGTTCCTTTTCAGTAGAGAAGGGACTCTGAATAAAGGTTACGAAGAGCTAGCATAGAGCACTAGGTCTTAATTTCCCTTTGCTGCTGAGAGAAGGACCATGCAGAATGTTTACGATGATGTTTATAACCCAGAGGTTAAAGGATGGCCATCCTTGTCTGTTAATCAGGTTGAGACAAACACTTGGGTAAGACTTGACCTTGGGTCTTACAAAAGCTCGAGATTTCTTGTGTCCTGTCTTTGTACCAAGGAAGCAGGAACTCTTCCATTAAACCCACTGTTAGGTTGCATCTGAAATGTAAACCTTTCTGTCGAAATCATGAAACAACCTGGCTTATGATTCATACGTTATATCCCTTCTTAATCACGGCAGATGTAACTGAACATCAATGAACTCACTGGTGTTTTTTGTTCCCATCACACGCCAAGCTCTTAATTTCACCAACACTATAAAACCAGAGTGTAATTTCCAGTATTTCAAACAGCAGCTTGGTTTGCTGTCTCTGTCTGCAGAGGCCTAGAAACAAGAGTGAATAAGACAAAAGGGCTTCAGACATTTCCCATTAGAGACACAATGTGACGCTTGGCTAAGATTTCAACGGTACATCGGTGTTCCATGTGAGATTCATTTAAATGAGGGTCCCACAGCTTAAATATATGTTTTAGAACAGCTAAAAGAAAGGGAAATGGGCTACAACATATTCTCCAAGACCTGCCAAGTTCTCCTGAAGTAGCCCTAAACAACGCTTAAAAAAAAAAAAAAAAGGCCAAATCATCACAACAAAATCACCATCAAATTTCCAACTAGTCCTCTCAGATTTCTCAGATTTAAGACCAAACAAAATTAATACAAGGTGAAACTTGCCTTACCACCTCACCCGTCTCAGGCTAGCATTCCATCCTTATTCCTGGAGATCCCTCCCCTGCTAGAAATTTCATCCGATACACTGGATCCCAGGCCCTGAGGACTTGGCTAGCAAACCCTGTAACCTCCCAAATATACCTACATATAAAGTTGCTGAATATAAGTTGATGGGCTATTTTCCCAATGAGAAGGTCTGAAAAAAATGTATAACTTCTGGGATGCAGATGAACTAGTACACAATCTCTCTCTCTGCAACATTAACTTATTAATGTGGCTAGACATATTAGAATCCCTTACTATACCCAA